CGTTGATTCGCGGTGTTGGAACCCAGGGACGGCGTTCTGGCACGATTCAGGGTCGTCAAGACGCAGCAGTCATGCTGATTCGTGGCGTTGGAGTCACCAGAATGGTGTTTTGGCACGCTTCAGGGTCTTCAAACGGTTGTCTCCCAGCGAGGCAGATCCCTCAGTGAAAATGAACCTTTGCACAAGCCTGTGAAGAGGGAGCTTGGAGGCAGAGTTTATTCCAACACCGTTGATGAGTCTTGGGTTTCCACTGGTCCTCCTCCTCTTCCTCCTCCTCGTTCCTTCTCTTTCCTCCTGCTCCTCTTCTTCCTCCTCCTCGTCCTCGTCCTCCCCCCCTGGTCCCCCAGAGGGCCCTGACGTCCACAGAAGCCTCTAGAGGTGCCCGAAAGCGTCTGAAGGTGTCCGGAAGCGACCAGAGGGCTCCAAAGCACCACCCCCGCCAACAAGAAAGGAAGCGCCCAGAAACCTTCTGCAAAACCTATCGCCCTCCTCCTCCTCCTCACCCTGACCCCACCACTCCCCCTCGTCCTCACCCCCGCCCCTTCCTCTTCCTATTTCGTTGCCTCCTCCTCCTTCTCATTCTCCTCCTCCTCCTCCTCCTCCTCCCGCCGTCTTCCCCTCCCCCCAGAGAAAAGCCTCATTCTGGTCCTCCTCGCCCTTGCCCCCATCCCTCGTTCTCCCCCACGGTTTCCCCATTGGAGCTCGGAAATGCGATGCGATCTGACAGAACCATGATCATCGAATTATCATGGCTCTGTAGATCCGCCACCGTGCTTCTGGGCACGGAATTGGCGTGCCCTCAGGTTCGTACCATCATCCTCTCAAACTCAGTCCGTACTTCTGAGGAGTCGTTCGGAATCCTAAGCCCCACATCGCGAAATCGTTTCATGGGGGTCTTCTCGCGGTCTCTCGCGTGACCGTTTCGGCGCGATGGGAACCTCCAAACAGGCGAATAGGGCCCAAAAAACACCAAAGACTGCACCAAACGCCACGACTGCTCAAAGATCGCCCCAAGACGCCCTACGCGGCGTCCAGATGGCCCAAGAGGCCCCAATAGGTCCCAAGAAGCCTCGAATATGCCTCCCAACAGGACCTGAAGAGGCACAATTCATTGATGTGCCTTCGTTGTTTCAAAGATTCTGGCGTTCCCGAGGTCCCGAATGCCACCCCAGCACTACCCAAGAGGCCGCTCAGAGAACCCCATGACGGCCCCAAAAGTGGCCCAAGAGAAGGAAGACAAACCAAAAATCGTGGCGCTCCGCCTCAAGAGGCCCCCAGGAGGCCCCAAGAGGCACCCAAGAGGCCCCAGAAGGCTGCAAGAAACCCCCAAGAGACCTACAGCGACCCCACGAGGCTCCAAAACTGCCCCCCAAAGGAGTCCGAGATGCAACAGAGAATCTGGAGACTCATCTGAACCCTTCCTGACGTGCTCGGAGAAGCACCCCGACAACAAACGAATCAAGCACTCGTCGCTCAATTGGGGTCGGCGGCAGAGGCGGCAGCCTTTAGATTATCTTGCATGCGTACTTCCCCACCCTTTTCCTCGCCACCATCTTATGTTTGGGCTTTGCCTTTTTTTTTGCCCTTAGGAACCGACCGACCGACCGACCGACTCAGGAGGAGGTGGTCTGCTCAGCCCTCGACTCCCCGCTCGTGGTCCCGGCGACGACGAAAACGACGTCGGCCTTCTCGGCGACATCCTCAGTGCGGGCGGAGGGCGTGCTCAAGACACCTCCCTCCTCCTCCCCTTCCCCCCGCCCCCCTCCTCCGCCACATCCTCCTCCCCCTCCTCATCATCATCCTCCGCGTCCACTTCTGGATTCTCCCTCTTCCCCGTCCTCCTCCTCCTCCTCCACCTCCTCCTCCTCATCATCAGCATCATCAGCAGCAGCATCCTCTTCTTCCTCCTCCTCCTCCTCCTCCTCCTCTTCCTCCTCCTCCTCATCCTCCTCCTCCTCACCACCACCATCATCATCATCATCAGCAGCATCATCATCAGCATCATCAACATCCTCATCCTCATCCTCATAATCATCCTCATCCTCACCTTCATTCTCATAATCAGAATCAGCATCAGCATGATCACCATAACCATCATCATCATCATCATCATCATCATCATCATCATCATCATCATCATCAGCATCAGCATCAGCATCAGCATCACAGCATCAGCATCAGCATCAGCATCAGCATCAGCATCAGCATCAGCTCAGCATCGCATCAGCATCAGCATCAGCATCATCAGCATCAGCATCATCATCATCATCTCATCATCATCATCATCATCATCATCATCATCTTCATCATCATCATCATCATCATCATCATCATTCATCTCATCATCATCATCATCATCTCATCATCATCATCATATCATCTCATCATCATCATCATCATCATCATCATCATCATCATCATCATCATCATCATCATCATCATTCATCATCATCATCATCATCATCATCATCATCATCATCATCATCATCATCTCATCATCATCATCATCTCATCATCATCATCATCATCATCATCATCATCACCTCATCCATCACTATCATTTTTGTCTCCCTCCTCCTCCTCCTCCTTCCTCCTCCTCCTTTTTTCCTTCTCCTTCTCCCCTCCCCCTCCCTCTTCCTCCTCACCCTCTCCTCTTCCTGTTCCTCCCTCCTCCTCCTCCTCCTCCTCCTCCTCCTCCTCCTCCTCCTCCTCCTCCTCCTCCATCCCTGTTCCTTGGAATGAGCTCCTCCCTGTCGCGCCCCGAGACGCGCTAGTAGGGCGGGCCGGGCGTTCAACCTGAAACGTCCCCACCATTTCAAATTCCTGACGCTTGAGATCTGCCACAGCTTCAGGGATAGGGGGCGCGTCGTCTTCAAAATGTGGCTCTCGCCGTAGCGCGGCGCGCACTCGTCTCGAAAGTGTGCGAGAGCTACGCGGACAGAGGGCGGGTCGTTTTCAACACGTGACTCCTCCTCCTCCTCCTCCTCCTCCTCCTCCTCCTCCTCCTCCTCCTCATTCTCCTCCTCCCCCTCCTCCTCCTCCCCCTCCTCCTCCTCCCCCCCATCCTCCTCCTCGTTCTCGTCCTCGTCCTCGTCCTCCGCCTCCTCCTCCTCCTCCTCCTCCGCCTTCGTTCTGAAAGGCTGCAAGAACTCAAAGGGGTGGAGGGCGGCTGCATCTCAAAATCTGATTATCGCCCGAGCGCGGTGCACATTCGCCATGCCAGGTTGCACGAGTTCTGCGGTCGGAGGGCGGGTCGTTTTTCAACGTGTCGTTCTCGCCGAATGGCCGCGCACACTCGTCGTAAAGTTCGCGAGCGCTTCACGGATGGAGTCCTGCCCTTTTTCAAAATGTGGCTCTCGCCTTCGCGCCGCGCACGTTCGTTGTATCCATTGGCCAGATTTTCACGCATGGAGGGCGGGTCCTTTCCAGAATGCGGCTCGCGCCCTCCGCGCCGCTCACATTGGTCGTAACGGCTTGCGAGAGGTTCGCAGACGGAAAGCGGCTCCCTTTTTGAGATGTGGCTCTCGCCTTCGCGCCGCGCACGCTCGTCAAAAACGCGTGTAAGAATTGCACGGATGGAGGGCGGATGCTCTTCAAACTGTGGCTTTCGCCTGCCCGCCGCGCGCACTCGTCTTCCAAGTCTGCGGAGAGCTTCTCGCGCTGACTCGCGGTGTTGGGGTCCCGGATGTGGTGCTCCGGCAGGATGCAGGATCGTCAATGCGCCACGGTAAAGTTGATTCCTGGCTTTGAGATCCAAGGAGGTGCGTTTGGCAGGACTGAAGATTCTCAGACGGTTGTCTCCCATCGGTGCACCTCCAGCAGTGAAGATGCATTCCTGTAGGGACCTTTGAAGAGAGAACATGGGGGGAGGGCTTACTGCAGCATCATTGAGGCGTCTTGGGTTTACACTGGTCCTCATCCTTCTCCTCCTTCTCCTCGACTTCCTGCTGCTCCTCGTCATCATCATCATCACCTCACCGTCATCATCATCATCATCATCATCATCATCATCATCATCATCATCATCATCATCATCATCATCATCATCATCATCATCATCATTATCGTCGCCAGTGTCGTCGTCGTCGTCGTCGTCGTCGTCGTCGTCGTCGTCCTCAACATCGTCATCACCGTCAGCATCAACATCAACACCGTCACCTTCATCACCACCACCCAACCACGGTCACCGTTACCATCAGCATCGCCATCACCATCGCCATCATCTTCCTCATCTCGTAATCATCGTCATCATCCTCAGCATCACCAGCGTCACCATCAATATCGTCACCATCGTCACCAGGCATCGCAGTCATCACCAGTACGATCATCATGAGCAGCATCATTGTCACCCGCATCATCGCCATCCCCATCCGCATCCTCATCATCATTTTCCTTATGACGCTCATCATCATCATCATCATCATCATCATCATCATCATCATCATCATCAGCATCATCACCATCACCATCACCATCACCAGCATCGTCATATTCACCAGCAACAGCAACACCATCATCATCCTCATCCTTATCATCATCCTCATCGCCGTCGACGTCGTCGTCGGCATTATCGCTATTGTCATCACAATCGCCTTCATCCTCCCTCGTTTCGCTCTCCATATCCACCTCTTCCTCCTGCTTGTCTTGCTGTTCGTCATGTTTCTCCTCCTCCTCCTTCTTCTCCTCCACGTCCGAGCGAAACGGGACAAAGGAGCATCCTGCATTCCAATGGTAACAGGTCCCTGGGAAGGGAGATCATGGTGCTCCTCCTTCTCCTCCTCCTCCTCCTCCGCCTCGTCCTCCCCTTTGTCGTTGCCGTCCTCCTCCGTATCCTCCTTTTCCTCCACCTCATCCTCCTCCTCCTCCACATCCTTCATATCCTCCTCCTTTCCGTCGTCGCCTTCCTCCATATCCTCATTATTCTCCTCCACCTCCTCCTCCTCCTTCTCCTCCTCCTCCGCCTCCTCCTGCCTCACCTCTTCCCCCGTGTTTCTCCTTCAATCTCTGTGCCACAGCTAGCGCCCCCCCCTTTTCCCTCCTCTGCAACCAGAGTGAGCGAGAGTGATGAAATTGGGAGGGACAAGCGGGCGAGGACGGAACCTCGAGGACGCGGAGGAAAAGGAGAACGACGACACCAAAACCAAGAGGGGGAGGAGAACGACGATGAGGAGGACGAGGAGAAGGAGGACGATGTAGAAGGAAAAGGACGAGGGGAGGAGGAGGGGAGGTCGAGGACGGCAAGGCAAAAAGGACGAACGCGGGGAGCACGGGCCAAACAAAGACGAGAGGCAGGAGGAGGAGAGGAGAGGAGGGGGTGTCTCCCGCCGCCCGTCCTTGCACTCGCCAGGGCTGTTCGACAGGGACTTGAGGACATCGACGCCCTGGGCCTCGGCCTGGCGGTTGATGCCGTCGAACGCATTGACAACTTCCGTGGCCACGACATGGCCGCTGCCGCCCCCGGAGTAGTAGTCTCCTGCCCCTCCTGCTCCTGCCTGTGCTCGTATCCCTCCTCCTCACCACCATCTGCATCAGTCTCACCAGCACCACCGCCGTCATCGAGCCCATCATCGAGGTGCACCACCGTCGCCATCATGATCGCCGTCATTACCATCAGCACCATCACCGCCATCACATCCATATCACCAGCGCCATCGTTAGCTTGATTACCAACGACAGCAGCTGCAACAAAATCAGCATCGTCAATATCAGTCTCACCACCATCATCACCAATGATCTTCATCACAATCATTCCCATGATCGTCATCATGGTCACCATAACCACCACCATCACCATCACCACTACCACCGGAACAGTGGAGCCGTCGGCAGCGGATCAAACGAGCTCGGAAACGGGTTTACGGAGGCCGATCGCGACCTCTGGATTGATCATCATCTTCCGCCTCATCCTCCTCGCTGCCGGACGCGTCGGGCCCTCTTCCCCCCGCCACGGTGGAGGTTTTAAACTGAACAAGTGCTCTTGGACCACCAACGCTTGTGTTGAACTTTTCTTTTACGATGTGAATCTCACTGGCGCGAAGCAGCGCCGTCCATAAGATGATTGAATCACGCCGACGGTGAGAAATTATCAACGCATGGGCATGCTAGGCAACTAGTTAGACTGCGCATTTGCCAGAATCAATCCCAGCTCAAGCAAATCCAACTGAGGTGGGGCTCATTCTGGCTACAAACTCGACTTTAATGTATGTAAGACAGGTTGTGCTTTGTTTTAGTACTGTGCGAAGGTACGGTGATTGAGATGGGCGAGTCACGCCGGCGCCCAAGAGGTGGCAATGCGCATGCTTTCGTTCTTCCTCCTGCGCCGCGCTCTCGTCATCATTATGCTCCTCAGCCACCGTCGTATATCTGCTTCGGAGAAGGAAGTGGCATGAGGAGGCGGAGGAAGAGTCTGTAGCTAGCAGTCTTGATGACCGAAGAAGGGCACCGAAGCCGACGAAGCAGCAGCTAAGCCGCGGCGCGAGCAAAAAAAGGGACTAGGCAGGAGGAGGGCCGCGCTCGTTTTTTTGTTTTGTTGTTTTTGTTGTTCTCTCTCTCTCTCTCTCTTACTCTCTCGCTTTCTCTCTCTCTCTCTCTCTTATATGTATATATACATATGAATATATATATATATATATATAATCTCTCTCTCTCTCTCCCCACCGCACGCCTCTCTCTCGCTCTCACTCTCGCCCTCCTCTCTTCCCTCCACGCATAGCTCCCAGAGGCCATTCCGTGGACGATCCTTGCCAGATTCTGAACCCCAGCCCTGGAGACCCGTCTGGTAACGCTGCGGCCAAGTCTCGCAAGTGACGAATGCTATACGAGCCGCGCGCGAGGCACCCGAGCACGTCGGCCTCAGGCCAATCGGCAACATCATGCGAAACAAAGACCATCCGACTTCTCACGCACACCAGGGGCGTCGGCCTGAACACAGCTCCAGACCACATAACGGGGGCGCACGGAGATGACAGGAAGGCAGTGGGGTCCCCGAAAGACGAACGGCCACCAGCCTGGCAACGGGTAGAACCACCACATAGCATGAGGCACTTCTGCTCAGCGGTCCCTGTCGCTCTCCGCCATCGCTCTATGGCCGACTGTCTGAGTCTCAGGGCGAGGGGGCGGGCGGGGCGACGGCCTTCCTTTTCGAACACATCCACCATGACAGCGACGAGGTGGTTCTGGCCCTCGCGAGCCAGACCATCAGCAAACCTCGCAGGGGCCGAGATGCCATGCGGGAGCTGAACGGGGGCGGCGACATGACCCGCGGCCTGATCCGCCACGGCACTCGCCAGCACCTCCCCGGGATTCAGCCCCCGAGAGAGGGCGTGGCTTAGAAACGGGCGGCTCGGAACACCTCGGAATCTGAACGAGGGCCGCATCCCCCAGCGGGCCCGAGGCGCTCCTGACGCGGCCCCAAAGATCCACGCGGGCCAGAACTCGCTACTGGAGGCCAGCCCGGAGACGCGCAGAACCGCGGGCCACGCGCGCCGAGTCGCGCGCGCGCGCGCGCCGCAGACGGGGCCCGCTCGGGGCGGCCTCCAGGAAAGATGCAAGAGCCCAAAGCTCCCCTCTATTCATACATTGCTCGCCGACATGCCCCCCCCGCTTAAAAACTGAATGCCCGAGCTAGACGCCAGATCGGGGGGGTCAAAAGATCGCGCAGAAAAGCCGCCGCGCCCCAAGGCGCCCTCCTCTGACGCTTGCCCCTCGAGAACTCATCCTCGCTCGCGCCCCCGGCGCGATTTCCCCCGACAGACCGCGGCAACTCACTCAGGGCGCAGGAGATCGGGTCGCCGGGGGGAGGAAGGACCTCAGTCCAAGATCGGGGCGCGAGACCGCGCCAGAAACGCGGAATGTCATTAGAGTCCCGAACACCTCTCCCGCCCAAAAACTGAACAATTTCCTGAAACTCAGAATTGCACGGGCACTTCTAAAACCTGTGGATGTTCGTTTCGGGGGCCGCGCCGCACCCGGGGCAAAGCTCTTCTGCCCCGCCCCCGCGAGCCAAGGTGCGGGGGCGAGCCCGGGCGCCCCCAGTGAGCACCGAGCGGGGCAGCCCCGATTTCTGGGCGAACTCGCGACGCAGAGATGAGAGGTGCTTCCAAACGAAAATTAAATCGGCCCCCACTCCAGCACCACTCCCGCGACGGCAAGTGGCGGCCGAGGCCCGCGCGCTTCTCGATGCCGCGGTCGACTTCATGCTTGAAGTCCGCCGCCACGTAAGCACTGCATCGGAGCTCATCGGGGCCGGCGGAGACATCGCCCCCGGGGGCGACCAAGGACCGCGGCCAATTGAGCTGCCATCCCAGGTCCGTCGCGGTTGCCACTGCGGCAGAGACGGGACCTCGAATGCGGCGCCGCCGACGGGGGCGGCCCAGCGAGGAGGCGCGCCCGACCGCGCCCTTCCAGCGAGCGATCACGCGGCTGACAACTTTTTCAGACAAGGCGGCCGCGATCTGAAACCACGACTCCCAAAGCGGAAAAAATCGAGAACGCTGGGTCCTTTTCGCGAGCCCCCGACGCCAAAAGGGCAGTCAGACAGTCGTCGACCCGCGCTGCCTCGAGCAAGAGGGCTGGCCAGGGCCCGCCACCGCTTCTGGGGGGCCGAGGGCGCGACCCCCAAGACCTCCCAGGCGCGGGGCGCCCGCGGCAAAGCCCTGGCGAGGATCGAGCGCGCCCCGATCTTGCGAGGGGCCACCGAAGCCGGCCCGTAATTTTCGGGCGGCGCGGCGGCGGGCTCGCTGCAACCGCCTGGGATGTCCAGGCTCGCCTCCCGACACTCCGCTGCCGCGCTCGATCCCGAGGTCGGCCGCGGCCGAGGCCGCGCTCGACCCGGGCGCCGTTCCCAACCGGATGGCACGCGCCGCGGACAGCTGACGCCACGATAGTGCACTTGCCGGCGAGCTCGAGTTCGGCCCCCGAGCAGCCATCGACAAGGAAACATACCAGCCTGAATTAACTGCCGAATCACATCGCGCTTCAACCCCTGTGCGCGCCGGGCGGCGTGATCGACCCGCGCGCGGAGGGGCGCCAGGGCACTGCGCGCGCGCCCGCTCGCAAATCTGACACGTTTGACTCTTCGAGAAATCGGGGGCCCCGGGAACTCCAGCCACGCTGCCCCCGCGAGGAGAAAGCCGCGCTCCGCGCCCTTCGCCCCGCAAGAGCCTGGGCCTCATACGGGGGGGGGGGGGGCGCCCTCTCGAGGGCCAGGGGGCGCGGCGGAAAATCGTCATCGACGACGTGAGCGACAACTCTCTCCCATCGCATGCATCTCCAGCCACCCTTCCCCCCCCGCCAGCACCAGCGCGCCCGCCCCTCGTCGCGGGCGCAGGGCGAGGCAGGGCGAGCGCGAGGGCATAACACGGGGCGGGGGGGGGGCGACGGCGACGACGGGGCGCCCGGCGCGCCCGCCGCTCTGCGGGCCAGGCAACGGCCCCGACTCGAGATCGGAGCGAAGCGCGACAAGCGCTTGCGCGCCAGCACGGGGAGCCAGAGCGCGCCAGCAGCATGCCGCGCGGCCCGTGCCAGGCCGCCCTGCTGCGCGGCGCGGGCGGGCGCCTGGCGGGGGGCCTTGCACCCCTGGAGTGCCCCAGCTTCCCCCCTTTCTTTCCCCTCCCCGCCCGCGCAGCGGCGCCGAGCGTCGGCGCGTCTGCAGACTCCCAACACGTGCCCAAGCACTGCTCGCGGCCGCTCAGCCGCGCGCCTCACCGACTGTCCGCGCGAACAGCGCGCAGCGCGGCAGCCTCGCGGGCGCCCTACCGGTCATCCAAGTCAACGCGCGTCTCGACCTCGCCCGATTGGACCGCCGTCACCACGCCCTGGCCCAGCGGCCCGACGGCGTGGCCGTGCTCGGCCACGTTGGCCCGCTGCGCGCGGAAGTCCAGCAGAAGGGCGTGATTCTGGAGCGCTGCGCGCGCAGGGCAGCCCGGCAAGCTCCCGAGATCAAGGTAGGCCCCGGCCATCTTGCGACGGAGCACCGGCAGCTCCCGGCCCCGCATGTCGGCGCCGCCAGGAGACCCCCGAGGGCCACCGTGCCCAAGGTTTGCGCAGCTCGCGCCCCTGGGGCCCCACGTCCAAGCGCAGCTTCCCGCGTCGGCGTCGGCGCAGGCCACGTGAAGGCCCCGTCGCAACCCCGAGCCCGCCGCCGGACAACTGCCGCGCCCTCCCGAACGTCGTCGGGGACGCCAAGTCGGGGCGCGCGGCTCCCCAGCAAGAGCGCCGGGCGGGGGCGATCCTCGGCACCCCGGCGACGGGCCGAGGATCGGCGCGAGACCCCAAGGGGAGCGCGCCGCGCGCGCGCGCAGGTGCAGGCCCCCTGCGGCTCATCGCACAGCCCCTGGCCGAGGACGCTCGCGGCTCACCTCGCCACGGAATGGCGATGATGAGGATGATGGCGAGGACGGCGACGAGGATACGGATGGGGATGAAGAGCGGGGAACCAGGAACATAGTGGATTTGATCGGGTAGCGGATGCGTAAGATGAAGGAGCCGAAGTGACGTCGTTCTCCTCCTTCCCACTCGTCGACAAATCTCTTTTCTGGGAAACGACAGGTGAGTTTGCGATCGCATCGGGGGGGTGAGCGCGAGTAGGAAGGATGCGGTAGGAGACGATGACGACGATCATGGTTGTCGTGATGATGACACTGATGCTTGTGATGGTGGGGATGAGAAGGACTCAGCGAGAGGAGGCCACTGATGGCATGGAGGGCGCGACGGAGGAAAAACCCTCGGTGACGCGCACTGGATGACACGGACAATGTCCATTTCTCCATTTCCACACACCTCACTATCATCACCACTTAACGGAGAATCGTACGTTCAAAAGGGGAAATACGGAGACAGAGAGAGAGAGAGAAGGAAAACGAGAGAAATCATAGCAACAGAAAAACGATATATATATATATATATACACATATAGATAATCGTTCCCATCCGACCCCCCCGTTGTCATTACACCCCTCCCCCTTCCTTCATCTACGGTTTCCTCTGCCTTGTCTCCCTTCCTCGGCCCTCAAACCCCCTTTTCCTCCCAATTCCCCGTTTCCATTTCCGTTCCTGCTTCTCCGTCCTCGCACATTCACCTGGTCGGCGGTTGAATTGGGGAGGGAAGATGCGGAGAACTGGGGTGGAGGGCAAGGGGGAGACGACTCCGCATCTTTCTTGTTCTCCTCATCGCCATCCTCGTTCCGCCCCCTCCCACATCGCATGTCATCCTCATCGCGCATCCTTTCTCGTTGGGGGGAACGATTCGGCGCATTGGGCAGGGAGGGATGGAGGAGGATGTCGGCGATGAACAAAAATACTCGTTCAGTGGCTGTTCGCCTTTCCTCTTCATCCGAGAAAGCGGGGGAGGAGGAGTAGGAGTAGGAGGAGGCACCAACGACGACGAGTATGATGAGGGGGCTGGCAGCGATGATAACACTTGACTAACGATTGCATTGACATCGTCATCTTCCTTATCCTCATCACCCGCCATCCTAATCACCGCGCGTGCCCCCTTTCCTCGGGCGAAGGGACGAACCCACTGAGGATAATGAAACGGGAGGAGGACCACGCGGATGATGGCGATGATGACCTATATGCGAAGGAGGAAGACGGGGGAGCAGGATATGGAAGAGATGAGGGAGGACGTCGACCGAAAAGTTAATATGAAAGAGACAACGGGGTGGGAGGAGATCGCGGAGAGCATGGGGAGAAGAGGAACATGAAGAAGATGAGGGCGACGATAACGAGGGAGAGGAAGGAGAAATGCGAGATTGCAGGTCGTGCGCGCCAGGGCGCGACCCAGAGGAACACCGACGAACCAAAAGGGGCGTGGGAAAATACTACACATGCTTTGTTTTTCTCTGTCGGCCATTCAACCTATTCCCGCATGTGGCGGCCTCGTTCAGTGGCGGCCTTGCAGTTAGAGCCGGATTCCTTGCGCGACGGAGTGACAAAGACTTCCCTAAGTGGCGGGTTTGCAGAAGGATATATTTTTTGCGGCGACCTTGTAAGAAAATGCTCCTTGCATGGGGCCTTCAATACTTGTTCGTGCGGCAGACTTTCACTAGGATTTGTTTGTGGCGGCCGTGCGACATGAGTTTTCGTTGTAGCGGCCTAACAGCACGAACGTCCCTTTGAGGCGGCCTTACACAAGGATTTTATTTTGCACAGCTTTATAATAGGGTTCCCTTGGTGGCAGCCTTACACAAGGATTCCTTTTGCGACAGCATTGCGAACATATTTCTTTTGCGAATGGCCTTTTTTACAAAGATGTTCTTCTTCTGGTGGCTTTACACCCGGATTCTCTTTTGTAGCGGCCTTACAAACAAATATATTTCATTCGTGGCGGCCTTACGAGAATGATGTCATTCTGCGACGGTTTTGCAAGAGGATCCGTTGTGTGGCCTCCTTACGTAAGGATTGTTTTTTCGTGGCGGCCTTACAACAAAAATATTTGTTGGGCCGACTTACCAAGTAACTTCCTGTTGTGAAGGCTACAGCAGGAACTCAAGGAATGGAACAACATTTGTAAGACAAACGAAATCACGAACAACACATTATTATGATTTGTAAGACCGCCACGCAGAAAACCCATGCGTAAGGCCGACACAAACGGAACCATTGTGTAATGCTGCCGCAGAAAGAATCATTTTTTATAAGGCCGTCTAAACAAGAACATGTCCTGTTCTAGGGCTGCCACGAAGGACATACTTTTGTATAGCCGCCATGATGAGGCGAATTTTTGCGATATCCTGTAGCGTGAAGGTGCTGGGTGAACCTGCGCGGTCGTTAGCAACTTCACCTGAAGACTGCATGTTCCAGGGCACTTGTTCAACACCCCCACTGCATTTTGCTCTCCCGGTACTTCGCCTCCGGGTTCCTGTGCAAGGCGTTCCTTTGCATGCACTTCGCCTTCGGCACCGCCTGATCCCGGGGTTTTGCCCTCTCCTGGCCTTGACGTGAGGCTCCTCCTTCTGTTTTCCTCCCTCTGTCAATTAAAGCTGTGCGCGGCCCGCTTAGCTTCGACCGGAAGAGGCTCGCTCTCGACCCGCGGATCAACAAAAATCAAAACCCCCACCCCCCCCGGAAGGTCTCCCGTGGCCCAGTCGCCGTGACCCTGGCCGTCGCCGTTCGGGTTGAAGGGCTCGGCGATGGAGGCCTGGCAGCACGCCGCGGTCGGCGCCGTCGTCCCCTTGTCATGCTCCTCCCCCTCCCCTCAACCCCCATCCGGCTTCATTCTTAACTAACCCCTCCTCAGCGCCCCCCCAGGCGTGACGGTAGGGCGGGCTGGGCGCTTCGCCTGAGAGTTCCTCGCCACTTTTGACCCTGAACTGTGAAATTTGCGACAGTTTGACGGATGGAGGGCGGGTGGTGTTCAAAATGTGGCTCTCGCCTTGGCACCGCGCACATTCGTGTCAAAAGCTTGCAACAGCTTCAAGGATGGAGGGCGTGCCGCTTTCAAAACGTGGCTAGCGCCTGAACGCCGCGCACATTCGTCTTAAAAGTGTGCAGCAGCTCCAAAGATGGAGAGCGGGCCGTTTTCAAAATGTGGCTCTCGCCTCAGCACCGCGCGCAGTCGTCATAAAATCACGCAGCACTTTCAAGGGCAGCAGCTTCAAGGACAGAGGGCTGTTCCTTTTCAAAATTTGACAATCGCCTCGGCGATACGCATACTCGCCTAAAACATGTATATCCGTTTCCAGGATTCGTATGATCGAAGTCCTGGCGCAATTCGGGATCGTCAGGACGCAACACTTACGTTGATTCGTGGTGTTGAAGTGCCAAGAATGGTGCCCTGATGCGATTTAGGACTGCCGGGATCTTCTGGACGCAATAGTCACGTTGGTTCGAGGCGTTGAACTCCAGGAGCGCTATTTGGTACGACTCAGGATTCTCAAGCGGTGGTCTTCAAATTCGGCACTTCCCGCACTCAAGATACTTTCTTGTATGGGGCCTACGAAGACGGGGCTTGCAAGGGGGGGTATGGCAACATCGTTGATGCGTCGTGGGCTTGCACCAGTCTTCTTCCTCCTCCTCCTCCGCCTCTCCTCCTCTCCTCTTCGTCTCTTTGTCCGTCTCCGCCTCATCCTCTCCTCCTCCTCTCCTCCTCCTCCTCCTCCTCCTCCTTTTCCTCTCCTCCTCCCCATCCTCCTCCACCTCCCTCTCCTCCTCCTCCTCGCCCCCTAGTCCACCTCCTCCTCCTCCTCCTCCTCGCTCTCCTCCTCCTCCCTCGCCCTGTCGCTCGCGAGCCCGGCGGGACCTGGGGAATTCCCGCCGCGAGGCAGTCCTGGTCCTCCTCGTCGGCGTCGTCGTCGGCGCCGTCGCTGTCGGAGCTCGTCGGCGTCGTCGTCCTCGTCGACGTCGTACATCGAGGGCGCAGGTCCGCCAGACTTTAGGCGACCCCGCGAAGCAAAGGTCACCCTCACCAAAAAACGAGAAGTAGCCTTCGCCTCCTCCTCCTCCTCCTGCTCCTCCTCCTCCTCCTCCTCCTCCTCCTTGATTTGTCCTCCTCGATTCCTCCTTCTCCTCCTCATTCTTGCGCGTTCTCCTCCTCCTCCTCCTCCTCCTCCTCCTTCTCCTCGTCTTCTCCTACAAATGGTTGGCGGACAGCTGTCAAAATGTGGCTCTCGCCTCAGCACCGCGCACTTTCCTCTTAGAACGTCGCTGCAAAGGATGGATGGTGATGCTTGTCAAAGTGCATCTATCGCCCGATCGCTGCGCACTCTCTTCTTACCAGCTTCCAATGAATGGATAAAGGGCGCCCCATTTTCAAGACGTCCCTCACATTACCGCCGAGCGCGCTCGCCTTAAAAGCTTCCAGCAGTTACAAAGATGGCGGCGTATGTTCAAAATGGCCCTGTGGGCTCAGACTTTTTGAGTGCAGTGGCCCAAAGCGTCCGCTGTATTTTTGCTTAGCTTCGCTCCTTGCGAAAACGATGAGCGGAGCCCTCCCGATGCACCGAGTGCCACGTGGGCTCACTCGTTGGACCAAGTCCCTGCGCTTGCTTGGCCTTCCAGGCAACATCGTGCCAGAATCGCAGAGAGTCTGGGCGGGCACGATCCGCGACGCATACCCTCATTTCCTGCCATCGCTCGGACGTCCATCCCCTGTGTTTTTTTCGGTTTCGTGCGTGGTTTTTTCGGCAAGTGGTCAAGGATGCTCCTCGATGGTCCTCGCCGAGGAAAAAACGCACACGTCCGAGCGATGCCAAGATTTGGTCTCCCTCTCCCCCAGGCGCCCGCTGGAGCGCGGTGCTGGACTCCCCACGGCAGCGAGACTGGAGAAAAAACCGGTGCAGCGGCTGCGCGGATGGAGGGCGGCTCCTGTGTTTCAGGCCGGGGCTCTCGCTGGAGCCTCTCCTCGTTCTCTCTGGCCAGATCTGCGAGGAATCTGCGAGCATCAGATCAACGGGTCCAGGGCGGCTCCTGGTGCAGCACGAGGCTCTGGCCGCACGCATGCTCGACCGCTGCGTTCCTGCCTCGTCGGACATTCCTGCGGCCAGAACGAGGCGGGGCGATTCCTTTCCAAAAGCGGGGGTGTCGCCGGAACGGCAGGCCAGTGGGCGCTGCCCGGAGTGGAAAGTAACGATTACAGGGGCTCTCGAGGAGGGGACCTGTGACGGGAGGGTGTGTTGCAGCATCGCTGATGCATACAGGAGGAACGCTGGTCACATTACTCCTCGTCTACGTCTCATAGTCCTCCTCCTCCTCCTCCTCGTCATCCTTCCTCTCCTCCTCCGCCTCCCCCTTCTCCTCGTCTCCTCATCCTCCCCACCGTCTCCTCCTCCTTCTCCGTCTCATCATCACCATCACCATCACCATCACCATCACCATCACCATCACCAGCATCAGCATCAGCATCAGCATCAGCATCAGCATCATCATCATCATCATCATCATCATCATCATCATCATCATCATCATCATCATCATCATCATCATCATCATCTATCATCATCATCATCATCATCATCATCATCATCATCATCATCATCATCATCATCATCATCATCATCATCATCATCATCATCATCATCAGCATCAGCATCAGCATCAGCAGCAGCATCGTCATCATCATCCTCGCCTCCTCCTCATCCTCCTCCTCCAAACTCTGCCCATCTCCTCCTCCTTCTCCTCCTCTATCGCTCTCTCGCTCTCACGACCTGGCCGCACACCGCGATCACCTTGGTGGCGCCAGACAGCGGCAGCACGCCGCCCTCGTTCTTCAGCATCACGATCGACTCGGTCGCCAGCTTTCGCGCCATTGCCGTGTGTGAGTCGCTTGTGACGTCCGTCATGAACTGATCCTCGCAGGCTGGTGGGCTGCACCTGAGAGACGTGGCGGATGAGGAAGATAAGAATGAGGCAGAGCAAGGACCCTGAGATCTGGGCCTTCTAAATTTGTCACACCAAGCGTTTTCGCTCGGTTTCGGCCCCGGGACCCTCACAGATCGACCCTGCTCGGCAACTGAAGGAGAAAGATTGAATCTAGGGCTCCTGTCGTGATTTTCACGATGTAGCATTTTTGTCGCGACGTCGGAACTTAGGGGACGGGGCGGAGTGGAAGAGGGGGGGAGTAGAAGAAGAGGGCGGGCACGTGTGTGTAAGGGGAGGAACAGGGGCGGGGGGAGCAAGAGGAGCAGGGGCACTTTCTTTGTCGTGCGCTGCCATTGTGTGCCGGACCTGCTAGAAGTGAGCACAAGCATGATGATGGACGGGAGGATGAGGAGGAAGAGGAGAAGGAGGAGGAGGCGGAGGAGGAGGAAACATCGTACGAAGAGCACGAGGGCAAACCGGAGAAACACGAGGATGAAGAGGAGGAGGAGGAGGAGGAGGAGGAGGAGGAAGGAGCAGTAGGAGGAGAAGTGCGGCCACGAGGGAAGATCAGGAGGGGAGAACGAGGGGGAGCACTCGCAGCAGCAGCAGTTCAGGGGGCGGACGGGCGGACAAGGACGAGGACGAGGACGAGGACGAGGACGAGGACGACGAGGCGCTGCGGCGGCAACAGCAAGTCTGGGGGCTGCACTTGAGGGACTTCGTCAGGTTCAGGCGGTGGATCACGGCGAGGACCCGCTTGGCGGCGTCGTCCACGACGCCGTCCTCCTGGCGCGGCGCAGGTTGCATGCGCCTGCGCCTGCCGCGCAACCCCATCCTCTCCGTCCAAATATTCAAAATCCGCCTGCGCCTGCCGCGCACCCCATCCTCTCCGTCCGAGTATTCAGAGTCGGGCGTGGCTTCGTAGAGGGGCAACAACAACCAAGGGGTGAAGGTGCACGCGCCTGTCGTGCACCTCCGGGGCCCGAGGGGGCCCCCTTTCGGGCCCCTGTGCTGCAGTCCGCGAACCCCTTCACATTCATCGTCCCCCTGCGAGGCAGCAGGCTCCCTCCGAGGGGGTATGACGAGAAGGGCGAGAATAATGAGAGGAGGGGGGAGCTGGAGGAGAAGGGACAACAAAGAGTATGATACCAGAGAAAAACCCCAGTCAGAATTTGGGGGGGGGGCTATGGGGCTTTAGGGCTATAGGGCTATAGGGCGATGTGGCCATAGGGATATAGGGCTAGAAGCCTTTAGGGCTATGGGGCTATAGGGCTACAGGGCTATAGGGCTATAGGGCTAAGGGCTATAAGGCTATTCGGGCTATAGGGCTATAGGGCTATATACGGCTATAGGGCTTCAGGATCATAGGTCTATAGGGCTATAGGGCTATAGGGCTATAGGGCTATAGGGCTATGGGGCTATGGGGCTATGGGGCTATTGGGCTATCGGGCTATTGGGCTATAGGGCTATCGGAGGTGAGGGGGTGAGATCGAAGTGGAACGGCGAGCCCCCCACCGGGAAATCGGTTTCGGTTTCGTGTTCGTGCGTGCCGTGCGTGCGAGGCGAAGCTGCGTGGGCGGGCGAGAAAAAATCTCCTGTGGCTGAGGCGCGGCCGGACCAAATGTTTCTCTTCCGGGGCGCGGGGCCCCGCGGTGTCCCGCCGGTGTCCCGCGGTGTCCTCCTGTGGCTGAGGCGCGGCCGGACCAAATATTTCTCATCCGGGGCGCGGGGCCCCGCGGTGTCCCGCCGGTGTCCCGCGGTGTCCCGCGGTGTCCCGCGGTGTCCCGCCGTGTCCCGCCGGTGTCCCGCGGTGTCCCGCGAGGATGATGATGATGATGATGATGATGATGATGAGATGATGATGATGATAATGATGATGATGATGATGGTGATGATGATGGTGTCCCGATGAAGATGATGATGTTGATGATGGTGCGATGATGATAATAATGTCCCGATGATGAGGATGATGATGCTCACGATGATTATGTTGATGATGCTGACGATGATGGTGTCCCGATGATGATGATGATGATGATGATGATGACGATGATGATTCCGATGATGTTGGTGATGATGATGTTGATGGAAATGGTGTCCCGGCGATAATGATGTTGATGATGATGATGTTGATGATGATTATGGTGTCCCGATGATGATGCTGATGATGATGATGGTGATGATGATGGTGATGCTGATGGTGTCCCGATGATGATAATAATGATAATGACGATGTTGATGATGATGTTGCTCATGATGATGATGGTGCCCCAAGGATGATGGTGATGATGTTGTTGATGATGATTATGATGTCGATGATGATGATGCGATGATCATGATGATGGTGTCCCGAGGATGATGACGATGTTGATGATAATGTTGATGATGAGAACGATGGTGATCATGATGGTGTCCCGATTATGATGATGATTATGATGATACTGCTGATGATGATGACGACGACTGTGTCCCGATGATGATGATGATGATGATGATGATGATGATGATGATGATGATGATGATGATGATGATGATGATGATGTTGATGATGAGATGATGATGGTGATGATGATGATGTTGTCCCGATGATGATGCTGACGTTGATGATGATGTTTATGATGATGATGACGGTGCCCTCATGATGATGATGTTGATGTTGATGATGGTTGATTGATGATGATGATGATGATGATGACGTTGATTGTGAGAGCGATTGTGATATCGATAGTGAGATCGATATTGAGACCGAATGTGAGATCGATTGTGTGATCGATTGTGAGATCGATTGTGAGATCAATTGTGAGATCGATCGAATGAGATAAATCGAGTGAGATCGATTGTGAGATCGATCGAGTGAGATCGATCGAGCGAGACCGATAGTGAGATCGATACTGAGATCGATAGTGAGACCGATCGAGTGAGACGTTGGTTCCCCCCCCCCCCGAACCTCCTTATCACCCCAAGGGTGGTCGTATAGGTACGGCTCTAGGGCTATAGGGTTATAGTGCTATAGGGATCTATGGCGATTGGGCTATTGGGCTAAAGGGATATAGGGCTATTGGGCTAGGCACCCCCGGGCACTTCTGGGCACCCCGGGCACCCGGGCACCCCTGGGCACCCCCGGGCACCCCTGGGCACCTGGGCACCCGGCCCCGGCCACCGAAATCGGCCACACACCTGGGCACCCGGGCACCCCCGGGAACCCCCGGGAACCCCCGGGCACCCGGCCCCGGCCACCGAAATCGGCCGCCCACCTCACCGGACCCCTACAGAGGCAAGCTCTGATTGGGGAAATAGAAAGGAACGAGAGCGAGACGACGCCCACCAGCAGCAGGACGACCATACGCAATAGTATGAAAAACACATGCCAGCAGCAGCTGCCGCCTGCACAGCAGCAGCAGCAGTCGCAGAACGATAGCGGCGATGGCCACGACGGCGGCCACTACGACGAGACGACGAGACGACGACGACGACGACGCCGGCGGCGGAGGCGGCGGCGGCGGCGGCGACGACTGCCACCACGACGGCAGCGACGACGGCGGCGAAGACTGAATGGACCAGGATGAGGACGGCAACGACGGCAGCGACGACAAGGATGACGACTACGATGAGCACCAAATTTGACGCCCTGGGCCGAGCCTGTGAGCCCAGCGCGCCGTCGTCGAAGTAGACGTGCTCCCCCGTCCCGGGCAT